CCCCGCCATAAAAAATTAGAAGCTCCGAATTTTTATCATATTCGTTTGATTTTCGTTAAATTTTTTCGAGCAATAACAAGCCAATTTTTTTCTTTTTCTTTCTTTACGTCAAATTTTCTTTCTCTTTTTTTAATCTTGAATAACTTCGTGAGATAGGTAAATCTCCCTTATTGTCGGATAATTTTTGGGCTTCAATATTTTTTCCTCAGTAAGGTTTCAGCCTATCGAATCTACTACGTGGATTACTTGCGCAAAAATTTGGTCTTCTTGTTAAGGAGAAAAAGAATATGTGTGTGTATATATACATATATATACACACACACATGTATATACATATATATTATACATACACATAATGTATATATATAAATATATATAAATATATATAAATATATGTATATATATACGACAGAGAAAAATAAGTACGGGACGTAAAAAATAGCAAAATATAATAAGCATACTATGCTATGCAACAGGGTAAGGTTTAGGCTGAGTACCTGAACCTGAGGGGCGTTTTCCGAGTCGGATGGGGCTTTGGCGTCAGTGCCTTGGCTTCCTGGCACAGCTTGGTTCTTTCCACGACGTATTCCGCGGTGGATCGTCCATTTCTGGAACGTTCCACATTTACGTTCACACACGATGCAACGATAATTCAAACTAGCTTTAGTTTTGCATAACTGATGTTATATAGGTTTTTTTTTAATAGTTTAGAAATTTTTTAATCATACTGTAGAATACAAATATGCATGAACTATCAAGAAACAAACTTAATGTCAGTGTAATGTTGTTCCAAGTTCAAATTATTTTGTGTTAATAAAGTCATTTTATATATGTTTTTTAACTCATAGTTCTGATGATTTTCACCAATTGTAGATCAGTGTTTTTATCATTTTCGTTTTATTCATCGCATGGAATACGTTACCGTGTGGATACATTTTTTAAACGCGTATCACTGCATATTATACATATACGATTTTTGAGCCAGTGCCACGGCATTTAAATGCAGCAAAAGGAGAACACTACCACACGCAATAGCACAAATGTTAATTTACTTAAAATAATTTTGTGAAAAAATAGCAAAACTAAAACAGGAACATAAAGCACTAAACTTTATAAGAGAAAAAAAAAATAAAAAAAATGAAGCAACTAATAAAAAAAATTCGTTATTTCGTTCTAATTAATGACACAATTTTTATACTTCTAGTTGTTCAAATATTTTGGAACTGATATTTCATAACAGTTTGTAACTCTAAGTATTATTGTAGAGAGAGAGAGAGAAATAGTTTCTTTCATCAATATCAAGTGCATGCATTTGTTAGATATTTTGAGAATATATCTTACTTTTTCTTCTGACTCGCTGTCTGTATTGGAACCTAATTCACTCCCATTCTCACTACCATTCTCTCCTTCTTTTCCACCACTTGTTAACTTTCTTGCTTGTCTGTCCATCAATGATGTTCTAGTTCGTGTCTTCTTCCAGCTATAATAGTACTTAACAAGACTGGCAATAGATTTATCAGGTAACTGTAAAAATAAGATGTGAAAGAATAAATACTTTTTATACACTTTCTTAAGCGATTTTCAAATTTTGAATTAAAAATAGGAATTTACCATTTGTCGAATTCTGTGGAAACTTTTCCCATGAAATTGAAATGCTTGTTCAAAAAGAACTTTGTCCTCAACTGTCCATTCATCAGGAAATGGTGTAAAATTAGCTAAATCTAATACAGCGCGTTCCAAGTTATGTTTGTGCCAAAATAACATCCCTAATGCTTGTTCTCCATTATAACCATATTTTTCCTTTGCTAATATAATATATTCATCCACTGTAAAATAAATAATTTGTTTCATAATCAACAGATTATAAAAATCAAATAAAAAATATAGTTTATACTAACATTTTTGATCAGGTATATCAGTAGTAGGAGACCATACCAGTAATGCTCTATCAGGACATTGATCCAATCGCCGTTCTAAAATATAAAATCTACTATTATATAGGTAGGAATGAACTTAAACAATTGTTTTTAAAAACCACCATGCTTCTATTAAATTTTAATAAAAGCCACATTTAAATTAATATTTGTAATTGTTATTAACTGATAAAGTAAATAATTCTATTAAAATAACATACCACTAACTGGAACAAATTCTGGAACAATAACTTGATAGTCTCTTCCAACACGGATTTTCTCTGCTGGAACTTTAAGGAATAATAAATTTTTAGTTTACAAAAAATTTTTTTTATTAATGCAAAAACGTTAACATTTTAAATATTTTACTGTTTAGATTATTATAATTAAATAAAAGGCAAATTTCTATTTATTAAGTTGTACACAGGCAATAATTAAGTAATATTGAAAGAAGTAACTTAAAATCAATTTATAAAAATATTCATAGGAATTGGCAGAAAATGCGAGGAACTTAAAAAGAGGAAAAGTGGGGCGCGCTGTTTGAAGATCCTTACGGATTTTCGCGTTCGATCAATATAAAAATATGCAAACTTCTAAACAAAAATACATCCTTCAAACATTCGCATAATAATGCTAAATAGACTAGGATAGCATTTATAATGATCGTATTAATTATAAAAATAATTCAGGTGCAATATGAAATTGGTACCTCCGTCTTCTTCGCTCGAGGATTCCGTCTGTCCATTGGGGCTGGGGCCCCTTGATCTGCGCCCATTTCTAACATTTTCTGAGTTTCTTTCCGCCAAAACCATTTTCCAGCTTTTCTTCGATTTACTTTATATCAGATGTTTACGCTAATAAAGACTTTTTTGTACGGAAAACTAATGAAACCTGCGATGCAAACGATAGCTTGCGATTACACCGTACTCCGTAGAGTCTGACTCGCGCTTCGTGCGACCGTAGCGAAAGTAAAATGGCTGCTTATTGAAAGTGATCTGATTGGTCAACGATTTACTAAGTAAAGATGGCAACGTATATTTTCAATGTATTTCGAAATTAATTGTATTTTAAAGAACCAATATTTACAATAATTTCACCGTAATTATAATCTTTATATTATTATTGTTATACAAAAATTTACAATATTTTGAATTAACTTTAAAACACTGTTATCCTCATAAAATAAATAACGATGGTTTAAAAGTATTCTACTATATAAAATGTATGGGCATCGTAATTATTTTAACGTATCATGACAGAAAACATATGTATTTGTTACAATGATCTATTTCTATACCTATAGTTAGAATACACCAACTAAAAGCTTAAACAAGTGACGTTGATGTTAATAAACAAAGGACTCGAAGTTATGTAATTCGAAAAAACATGAATTTGAAAACTATTTCAAACTAATTCTACCTTAATACATGTTTGGTATTTGAAGCTATATGTTTCACCTTTGTAATAGATCGTGTCCTTATTTCATGATATACATGGTAGTATAAAAAGAGTATAAATAAATATATATGTAAAGGGGGAAATTATGATTAAAATTTGACTCAAGTTATATCACAATTGGTAAATTATAACGTAGAAACAGATTGAAATAACGAGACATCGATATATTTTATACATTGATGATGTCACGAGGTATGGTCGCACGAATTTCACCTGAGAATCTCTCACAAGTGACATCAGTTTATATAATAAATTTATAGAATTTTCAATAATAACTTATAATGACAATAAGTACGATTAATAAGAAGGATAAATTTAGAAATAAACTTGCTCAATACATATTATAAACAATCGGAGAATTAAAATAAGTCGTAACCTCAATTTTACGGTTTATGTTGAAAGTTCCATCACCAAGAGGCGCCACTATCAAGCAATCGCAGTCTCTGATAGACTTTTCCGTGTAAGGAACTTTCGTCGCCTATTTAATGTAAATATTACATTTGTTGAGAATTTAGAGTTTATTTTAGCGTACATAAGTTTGAAATTATCGTTCGCGTTCCCTGTGCAATTCGTTGCTGGGCGTCATTCCGTAATATTTCTCGTTTAGTCGAGATCGGCAATAACCAAAAAATCTCTCCGTAGGTATTCTTTTTTTCCTTAATAATCGCTGATCTTGTTTCTAACATTTCATTAAAGTTAGATTTTCTATTTCACTTTATAATGTTCTACGATCCTCCTAAAAAGAATCTAGAATCTGTTGAGATTTTTTTCGTATTATGTGACGTTTACTGTTTAGAATAGTACAGTGATTAATTTTTGTTCACCAGCCAATTGTTACACGTATTAATAAGTTAAATTGAATATTCGGTGTCCTTTTTGTGTTTGTCTCTTGCAGGAATTTATTTAAAAACATAACATACAATTTTTTTCTTGAAAACATGTTGGAGTTAAGAAATGATAAAAAAAAAGTATTTTTTTGAATAATCCCTCAGATATTTATTAAGTAAGAGTAATGCCTAAATTATATTATTTATATATTAGACCAATTCAACAAACACATATGTGTATGTACCATGTAAATTTAATTTTGGCTTAATATATATTTGCAAGTAATGTATGCATGTGTAATCTTAAGTATGCTACATGCTCCTATAATTATGCTCTTTTTATTTTTCATATTTCCCTATCCCTGATGTAAATGTTTGTTAATCTGTGTTTATAATTTGCACTGATACAAATGTTAAGAAGAAAGGAATGATTCTTTATAAATATTTGGATCAGTAAGCTATTTTTTATTTGAATGTATTTATATGTACATGATAAATATAATCACATTACTTGTTTATGCAGCCACACACAGTTAGACATACACATGGTATCTAAGGAACAGTTTGTAATTTCATTTATTGTTGCCATAGAGAATTTAAAAAATTTGAATTTGTCAATGTTGTAATAAATTTATTATATCAATGGATCTTTTCATTGTTTAATTACAGATAATTATCTGAAACAATATATTGAGATTTAACTATACTCTAAGCTCTTGATAAGTTTTTTGAGAGATTGTGAGTATAAGATAGAAACATGAGGGTTGTTGCACTAGTCAGTGGTGGTAAAGATTCTTGCTTTAGTATGATGCAATGTATAGCTGCAGGCCATGACATTGTGGCTTTGGCTAATTTATATCCTGTTGGAAAGGGTAAATAGCAGATGATAAAGTATATCAGTCTAGTCAAATATGAATTAACTGATGAAACAAATGATTTGTAGATGAACTAGATTCATTTATGTTTCAAACTGTTGGATACCAAGGTGTTGAATATATTGCAGAAGCTATAGGCTTACCAATGTATCGTGAACCAACTTTTGGTAGATCAAAAATGCAAGAAAAATATTATTATCCAACTGAGAATGATGAAGTTGAGGATCTCTTTAGGTTGTTAAGTAAAGTGAAGGTATGAAAAATAAATTGAAATAATTTTTTTAGTTGCATTATTCCAATTTAACATAATTCTAGGTAAAAGAAGATATACAAGCTGTTTCATCAGGGGCTATTCTGAGTGATTATCAACGAATTCGTGTGGAAAATGTGTAATTATTTAATAAAAATTAAGAATGTTACTAATAATTATTAAGTAAAAAATATGAATATTATTTTTTGTATTTTAATCAGTACAAAATATCTAATAATGAAAGTTTATTTTCAGATGTAGTCGTTTAGGTCTTTTTTCTCTATCATATTTATGGAGAAGAGAACAAGATGAGTTGTTGAAAGAGATGATAGAAAGTTCTGTAAATGCAGTTTTAATTAAGGTGGCTGCTTTAGGCCTTGAACCAAGGCATTTGGGTAAATCACTTTCTGAAATGCAATCCCATCTTGCCAAAATAGTAAGTAAAATGTCTTAATGATTAATTTAATACAAAAGATTTTCCTTTGATTTTATCTCATATTGGAAGTATTCCAAATATAAATAGTTCCTTAAGAAGTATGTGCAAAAGAAATTAATTGAAATCTTAAACAAGCGCATATAAGTTATGTTTACAACTTAATATTTATTTTCAGAATGAAAAGTATGGTATTAATATATGTGGGGAAGGAGGAGAATATGAAACTTTCACATTAGATTGTCCACTATTTAGTAAAAGCATTGTAATGTGAGTTTAAGAATTTATTATACATGTAAATGCAAGGCAAAGTAAATTTTGTATATATGTATTGTTTTATTCATTTTAGAGATGAATATGAAAGTGTAGTTCATTCAAATGATAACATAGCACCCGTCGGATATTTGAACTTTAAAAAAATTCATCTACAAGAAAAAAATGTGAGTTAAAATATTCCATTTTTTTCGATAATTTTTTGAGTAAGCACACAAATAACAAAGGGGAATATTTTTTAGCATGGTTTAGAAGGATTAACGTTGCAAGAGAGATTAAAAAATGTTCCTATTAAAACCCCATCCGATTATATCGCAGAAATTGTTGGTCCAGAATTGCACGATGGTTGTAATTTATCGGAAGACGAGAACGATGAACACGATTGTACAGGCAGTAATTTAAAGACATCAAATTCTGGTATTAATTTTGATTAATCAAATAGTTTTGTTGATTGCATGGAAGCATTAATTAAATATGCAAAAATAACGCAGGTCAATTTAATCTATCAAGACCTATGAAAGTTTTATATGAGGAAAAAATTTTATATGAGAAAGAAGACTATCCCGATGTACCAGTGGTGAATAGAAACCAAACTGGCTGGTTCTGGTTTGGTGGTATTGCTGGAAAACATCCGAATGTTAGATCTGCGATGAAAGAGGCGTTGAAGAAATTAAGCAGTAGGTAAACTTTGAGTCTTTTAAGTCACCCTTTTAGTTACATTTCTTTTTTTTTTTTCATGTAATATCGATGTATTTTGGATTCGATATAGATTGATAAAACACTCGTATCAACTGTCTAGGTCTAGTCAAAAAGGAAAATCTTCAAATGTCGGACATCGTTGCCGTAACGTTGTACATAAAAGAAATGGCGGACTACATAGCTATAAACGATGTTTACACCTCATATTTGGGCAAAACAAATCCACCGGTCCGCGTATGTGTGGAATGTCCGTTAAATATACATGTTGTACTTGATGCTATAGCCTATAAAGAAACTCAAGACTGTGGTGATAAGAAAGTTCACAAACGACATACAATGTATGTTCGGAGCATAAGTCACTGGGCACCTGCAAACATTGATCCTTACTCTCAAGCTGTTCGTGTGAGTGTACTACCGTTAAAAAAGAATTTACGTACGCGTTCTGTGTGTACATGTAGACAAAATGTGTGTATATGCGCGCACATTCGTACGCGCACGTACACACATCTGGTTTACAAAAGAAATGCGACAGTGAGGTAAACAAAATTAAATTTTATATAATGAAAATAAGATATAAACAAAAAGCGACATTTACTAATAAAATTCAACTTATTCTCATTATATATAGATCTAACGATAGATTAAATAATTTTAGTACAACAAAAAGATCTATTTAATTAAGCGCTATAATGGAATAAATAATTGTTTGTCTGATAGGTTGGTGATATTATCTTAGTTTCTGGACAAACACCATTGGAGCCTTGTAGTAGGGCTTTTCTGAACTTAAATATTAAAAGGCAATGTCGTTTAACCTTGAGGCATATAGATCGTATTATTAAAGCCATGGACTCGAATACGCAACTCAGGGACATTGTGCAAGGTATTTGTTTTTTGACTCATTCTAGTTATATACCGGACGCACGAAAGGAATGGGAGAAACGAACAAATAATGCCATTGTGGATTACATCGTTGTACCGTTCCTTCCGGAAGGTGCTCCGGTTGAATGGTGCGTTTGGGCTCATAGAGATAATAATAGGTTCGAATGTAAGTATAAAAATGTACGAAAAATATTATCATCTTCGTAAAACACAACTTTCACAACGATCGTTTTATTACAGACGAAGAGACTGGTAAATGTGTAGGTAATTTCAAAGTGGCAATAAGGCGTAGGTGGAATTACGAAAATAACGTTGCAGCGATTGTGTGTTACATGTCTACTGGTACATATTTTTGTCTGAATATTTTTCAATTTCTTCGTATGCAAATAAAAAGGATTCTATCTTGACTAGGTTCGTCCAATTCGACTGGTAATTTAGCCACGGAAACGAGTTTGCCTTCTACAGAATTGACTGTAAGTGAACTGACAGAGGCATTCGAGTATGTACTGTGTAAACTTACGAAGGGATCCCAAACAGTAAATCCGACATGTAATCTACGCATCTTCTACAAAGTCGGGAGTTCGCCAGGACCGAATTTTGTTCAGGACGTTCTTTCTAAATTTTCTACACGAAATTTAGTTACTACCATTATACCGGCAACGCACTTACATAATTTCAGTACCTTTTTATCCATATGTGGTATTAGACACGAGTAAAGCCTAACAATAGTTTTTACGTTGTCAATTATTTTACAAACATTATTGTGTCATAAAAAAGATTGTAAAGATTTTATTTGCCGTTTAAATTATTTCAACCAGTGGATATGAGCCAGGGACAAATCGATTTTAGTACGAATGTGGAAATCATTAACGGCTATATATATATATATATATATACATGTGTATATACATATATGTATGTATATATACATTCTAAAGAATAATTGTTTAGCAGTATCAGTGCTCGAATATAAACGTTATTTTTCACCTTTTCTACTGGTCGCTTGTTGGGTTTGCTCAGAATTCACTTGACTATTTGTCAATAGTGTATTTATATTCGGCTAGTCAACGGGACATCAGTGATTTTAAATCATTCAGTCTCGTTAGTGTAAGTGTTCTACGTAATGAAAAACACGTTATGTCATTTCATAACGTATACTGTATGCTACGCCTCGTTTTTTGCTCAAGTTATTTTTTATTTTTCACAATTTCACGATACGTGCGGAGTGTTAAGTGTGTGATTTTATGAAAGAATTTAAAAGCGTGCACAGCCATTTTTATAGTAGCGCTCAAACTAAACTGAATTTAAAAGAAAAAAAAAAAATATCAAACGTATTTGGGAAAGCTGTAAATTTTAATATCAAATATGAACAAAAGTATAGTTTATGTCCTTTCTAATCTTAGTTAAAAGAAAAAGAACAAAAAAAAAAAATAAATAAATAAGGTATGATACGCGGAAATTCAAAACACGCACTTTCTCAACAATTGTCTTCTTTCACTTTTTGAAATGCTGCCGATGTTGTTCCGCTATCATTTAAACTTTATATTGTAATGGCAGACATGTAGCTTTGCAAAAAAGGTATAAAAGAAAAATATCTACTTCGCAAAGTATTGTGTAAATCCTCGGTAGTTTCTGCATAATTGATCTAATGCTTTAGAGATACATCTTGTACAAAAGCGATATGCTATATATTAGAATATTTCTGACAGTATAATATTCATATGCAACGATATGCCAAAGTTCGTATTTTGCAATTTGGTCATTGTTTAAAAGAGTTAAATACTGTCATTTTATTTTTCCTGTACATATTGCTAAATAACTTAAAACACTTTTGCAATGTATTATAAAATGTAATTAGTTTTGAACATGGCAATTGGTTATCAATTACGTGTGAATGTCATGGAAAGATAAATTTCTGGTACGAGGAATACGAAGCATACTGTTCACGACGTGGATACTGCGTTACTATAAATATGTAAAAAAGATATTTGCAAGACATACAACTCTCGTAACAAAATACTATTCCGAGGATTATATTGCAAAGAAAAATAAAGAAAGTGATATATATTTTTAAGAAATTGCTAATTTGTTTCATGTTTTATTGTACTCCTTCCTTTGTCTTAGATATACATTTTTCTTATAAATTAAAATTAATCCTAAAAATTATCATTAACTTAGACTTACGCAAATAACAACTGTAAATATTAAAAAAAAGCACCTTATGTACATTTAAAAGGAAACGTTAAAGACCATTATAAAATTTATATAATTCTGTAAAGCAGTCTTCCAATAGTTACTTTCTTACTGTGATTTATAGTTTCATCTATACTAAATGGTAAAAACAAATAAGATGATAAATTATGAACACAATTTGTTAAAAATAAAAAAAGAGTATTGACTCTGTTTCATTTTACAATAATGTGTTAACAAAGGACAGTCTACTTTTAAAAAAAACATAAGAGGATAAAAGTTATAAAGAAAATCGGAATTTTTAAAATTTTCACTGAATATAAAAATTTAAAGTGAGACTCTTTTTTTTATATTTTAAGCTTTATATGTAGCTGCGTATAGCCACCGTTTTGTAACAAAATTTCAATTTTTCAAATTGATTATAATCATACAATTATGTACAACCACCGTATTTCTTCCCACACAGAAGTTCGTAAGAAATATTTCATGATAAATGAACCACTTGAATTCTCCACAATGCATTCATTGTCCATACAAATAAAAATTCTCTATTTTTCTCTACACACGCGGCTTCACATTTTATACAATTCTCGAGCTCAAACGGAAATTACACATTATCAATTTATTTACGTTCTCAATGTTTTCGATATTAATGGCTTCATCATTTGCTGACGATTTGGTGCACAAAAATCACACAGGTAATTTTTCCTGTCTAATGGTACCCCCTTGGTCTCCACGCAACCTGAAAGCAGATGATGAAAACCTTACAAATAAGCATTTTATCTCTTATATCGGCACATGTAAATTATCGGATAATATTTCATCTTCGAAATATTACTATACCTGAAACCATTTGTAATATATTTCAAATACTCGATCTGTTTTTAAAGACTGAAATATTCAATGAAACATGCAAATGCAATGGCATGCAATGAATGAAAGTAAATAGCGGAATTATACGGAATTTGTGTCAATACCTAAGTGCAGATATTTGTCACATGCGCTGCAATGCACTAGATTCGCTTCCAGGTCGAGTCTTGGGGCAGTATGACAGCGACTGCAGTGCGGACAATAGCGACCCTTTCGCCATAGCCTTGTTATTGCATAAAGATTATGGGGTTAGTGAACTTGGATAAAGGCTCATTATAACGCCGGAGTTTAGTATAGACCTAACGTGATATTCTGAATCTTGGCCAATTTTTTATTCTCTCCAACATGCACGTATAATAATCGAGTATAGATGAACTATTAATTAAATTATAATTGTTAAGATTGAAAAATGTTATTAATGAATTAAATTAATTGCATTACATGAAATTTTCGAAATCCAAGGATTCTGATGTTTCGATAATGCGAGCATGTAGAATTAGTTTGAAAGTTTCTATAAAAGAGGAGCTTAGTGTGGATTAAGGAAATCGTGAAGCAAATATAAAGCCCGGTGAAAACTTGAAGACTAGAGTGAAAGATTTGAACGAAATTTTCACTTTTACAGTACACCACAAAATGAAAGAAAAGTATGTTAAGATCGTACTTACTTTGAGCATGGAACGCACAGCGTTGAAACATAAACGCGAGTATTCTTGTCACCTTTTTTATATTCGTGCTGCCATAGAGCAACACTATTTCTATCAGAATTTACACCACCGGGTTCTCTCGAACCACAATTTGCACAGACGGCGCATTCTTGACAATGCCATCTTCCTTGAGGCACTCGTCGTAAGCCAACGCAATAAATATGATACCTAAGAAGCATTAGCTCATTAAATAATCGCAAATTATTCATTTTACCTTTCTTAATAAAGAGACATACCCCCTATCGCACATATCGCAGAACAGCATTTTATCTTCGTCAGCAGGATCGTGACATTGTGCACAAGTTTTACAATCGGTGCATTGCCACGAATATGATTGAATATGAGGAACCATGTCTAACGTTAAATCTATACACGATGGATGAACTGGAATAAAAATAAGAAAATTTTTACCATAAAGTAAGGAGAAAAATAAACAGATCAAAATTATTACCATGTCCGTTACACGTGCCACATTGAATTAATACTTCAGTTTTACTATGTTTGTTCAGCGTTTTCAAGCACATCTTACATTTCAATTTAATTTCATCTTTCTGATTCGCTATTTCCATATCCACCTCGTCCATTGTGGACTGAGAACCTTCGGTATCCTGCGTTCCCTCGCTAGAAGACGAACTACATAAAAAATAGGTAACTATCCTTTCACAAGAAACATGAAAATCTGAAGTTTAGAACGAAAGCACGAACCTCGAGTCATCTGAGGATGAATCACTGTCACTGTCACTCTGAGATCCCTCTGATTGACTGTCAAATTTACGTTCATTTGGTCTCATAGGACCATAGAGGACGGTATTCAGAGGATAATATCGTAATTCGGCTGGTGTGTATTCACGATAGTAATCCGTATATTGTCCAGGTATTAAAGCAACAGGATAATGACCGATTCTTCGTTCCGTTTCAATTTTTTGCTGCTTCTTTGGCACGTGTATCGTGAATGTTTGTAAATCTAAGCTACACTTCCTATTTTCTCGCCGAGCTTTGTTTAAACTAATATTCCAAGATAATGCAGACTGAACTGCCATTTCTGCTAGGTCAATTCTATTTTTCTCTGCATTTGCGGCCGCTGTTAATTCTTTCTGTTTTTTGGAATGTTCTTTCACTTGTTTCTCGCGCATATGTTTACGATATTCTTCATACTGATCCGGAAAATCACTGCACATTACATCTAATACTTCTGAACTGCAAACAGCAGTTAAGCCTAAAATAACAACATTAAAAACTGAGTAAACCAGTAAATAAATACCATTGTTCGTGCATAGCCAATGACATACCCATGTCACACATTGCTTCACTAACTAATCCATTTTCTCTTAAATAATTTCTTTCCTCCATATCTACCACTCTTCGTTTCAGATCTGGGTACTTTCTTTTGAAAGATTTTACACCAAGATATTGGGATATTTGTTCCTGTATCATAAAAGTTTCACCCTTACGGTCCAGTGGCCACTCATATTCAGCAATCTTGTCAACAGTAAATGGTCCTTCGTCTGGATCAAAATTAATTTCCATTCTTCGATTCTTGACCTTCACTTTTTCTGACTCTGTGGTTGCAGTACTAAGTACACTTCCTTGAGACTCTTCATTTACTATGGTTTCAGAGGCTAAAATAATAGTTATTAAAATTTAATTTGTTAAAATTAGAAGACATAACCAATTACAACATTATAATATTTTGCAATCTTAATTATAACATACAAATTGTACCGAAAAAAACATCATATACAAAGTAATTATGTCTCAACTAAAGCCAGTATGAAGTCAAAAGGAGATGTCAATTTTTTCACAGGTAAGATTAACACTCAATATCAACATTATTAAACTTTTCAAAATAAAAACATTTAAAAGAAAATATACATAATGGAGAAATAAAACACTGATCATCGTGGTCTTGAAATTCTGTACATGTTAACATCCATTATGATTTGAAGCAACAGTACATTTTGTGCTTGATTTAAATACATCTATTTCACATTTAGGTACTTGAGAGATGTTAGGACACAAGAAAAGATCTATTTATAGATACCTTGCTTGGAGGTCTACCAATACATTTATCTTTTAATTTAGTTTAGTCATATGATGACTATGGTTCATACGTGCTTCCCATTACTATCAATCAGTTTCTTTTTTTTTTTCTTTTGCTTCAGCAACTTAATACTTTTAAAGATACAACCCATAATTTATTTGAAGTAAAACATGTACTTAGTGTACAATAAATAATGAACAATATTTAAATATAAACTTTTATATAAATGCAATAGGCAGTGATATATATGATTGTTACCTAAGTAAATAGTACATGTGTAAAATACAACTAATATTCCATTGTTTGTAATAGAAAGAAAAACTAGAAAAAATATGTAATAATTTCCAAGAAATATAAAAATCATACCAGGGGCAGAAATATTTCTCGCTGGTGTTTGAGATCTTGAACCCGATTCCGCGCTCATCCTCGTCTCTTCGTCTATCACTTGTACCGTAGATACATTTTCATGCTTCGTAGCACCTTCTGCAACTCGTTTTGACATTGGCGTCAACCAATTAGGGTGTCCAGGCGGCACCAACATATCTTTATTCTCCGACTTGACATTCTCCGTTGTTTTATCAGGCTCTGTTTTCACTACAACTTTCTGCATCCTCTCAGGAATGATTTCTGGCAATTTCTTATCCTTTATACCATCTTTCGAGTCATTTGATACCGGTCTAGGTAGTCGCATCTCCGGTATTTTGTTCATATCCGTTTGCGTGGCCACGGAGTCTGGAACTGTGTTATTAGCTACATTTGTATTCTTTATTCCGTCGTTCTTTTGCCCCATAATCTTCTTGTCGACTTTACCCGAAGAATTAGCAACCTTTGAATCCATTGTCGGTTGCTTAAGAGCTTTGTACAACTCTGGTGACTTTCCAAACGCTCCTTGCTGCATTCCAGAATTATCTATCATTATTACTGCCGTTGTGGAAGCTTCTATCGCGTTTAGGTCTTGTTCTAACCTAGGCTTCTTCGCTACTTGAGGATCCACACTGTCCAATTTCCGTTTTCCTCGACCTAACGAACAAGACAAAAAACAAAAACAAAAATGATAATACTCTAAACAATATTTAAGCCAGTTGAATGTAAACGAATCTATAAAAAAAATACTAGCCTCTTCCTCTGCCTCTTCTAGGAGGTGCATAACTCTTTTGACTTCTACACGTCCTCTTAGGCCTCTCGTTCTCTCTGGATTGTGGGAAATGTGGCACCTGCGGCTGTTGCATCTGTTGTGCTTCATCTAAAGATAAAGGACCCCTGGGTATTAGTATATTAGGTGGAGGATGAGTAATCCCTTGTTGCAACGGATTCCTTCTGGGTCTGCCTCTTTTCTTCGGTACCTTTACTTCTGGCATTCTATTAGGGGAAACCTCCTCAATTATTACAACATCCTGGCTAGAATTCGAGTTCTCGTTTACTATAATCAACTCTGGCCGGTGCTCAATAATTTCACAGTCAGAGTTCAACGGCGAGTTAGTCGCCGTGTTCTTCGACAAAATATCCTTCAATTTCTCGCTCATCGATGCATCGCTCGGTTTCGTTGGTCTTACTTGGGTAATACTGATCTCTTGGTTTATCACGTTCATCTGTTGAAGACTAATCGCGCTACCTTTTGGATCGAACAAAAATTGCTTTTGTTGTTCCCTGGATGTCACAGGCTGAATAGTGACCTCAGGCAGAATTTGAGTCAGTTGTGCCTCTAGCTTCGACTTCTTCGATTCTATCGGTGCAATGGTGATATCTTTACGCTTTGGAGATATCTCAACGACGTTCTCTGGCTTCTTTCCTTGCATTTGCACCGGCTCGATGGTCAATTCCGAACGATTGCTCTGTAGAATAGCGGAATGGCTACCACTTTTGAACATTTTTAACGTAGATGATTCTTTGTGACCAGCAGTTTGTTGGCCAGCAGACTCTTTGTACCTCTGTGTAAAATTTTGAGACGGCTCGGCAGTAGCTTCCTTCGGCTTGTATTGAGGTTCTGCTTGATTGTCACAAGCTACAATAGTCGGATGACCGGTCTTCGATAATTTAATCTTCATCTCCAATGGTGATTCGGTGTCTCGACGTCTCTGTTGTCTGTCCTTCTTCTCTGGATCCACTATAGAAGCGTCTCCGGTTTTCGACAGCTTTATCTTCATACCTAAACAAGTGTCAGATGGTTTGAAATGCTCTGATTCAGTTGTTCGTAACATTTTATTCGTATCATCGGACGATTCGGGCTGTATGATGGAAGCATCACCAGTCTTTGATAGTTTGATCTTCATTCCTAGAGGAGATTCCGTTCTTTTCGGTATCTCTTGAAGAGATTTCCCTTCTTCCAGCTGTTCCTGTTGTTTCTCCGACGAGATAATCGACGGGTCGCCGAATTTGTAAAGCTTGATTTTCATACCAATAGGAGATTCGACCTTCGACAGAGGATCTTGTACGCTCTCTACCGTCTCTTCCGCAGTTTCTTGCGCGATCGAAGATGTTTCTCCCGACTTGATCACTTTTATCTTCATTCCAGATGGTGACTCCGACGATTTCATCGCATCTTGGGCCACGTCCACTTTCTCTTTATATTCATCGGACACTTCTAAGTGAACAATAGACGCGTCGCCGCTCTTCGATAGTTTAATCTTCATTCCAAGCGGCGATTCTGTCCGTTTCGGTACGTCTGGCATTTCTAATTTATCCTTTGCCTCCTCAGAGTTCTCCATTGATATTATAGAAGCTCCACCTTTCGTTTTCGCCAGTTTGATCTTCATTCCAATGGGAGACTCGGTCCTCTTCGGAACATCCGGTGGTGATTCCAACTTCTCCTTCGTTTTACAGGCGTCCTTATCCTCTCCCGGCAAGTCAGGAGAGACGATCGAGGCATCTCCTGTCTTCGATAGCTTGATCTTCATCCCTATCGGTGAATCAGTTCTCTTTGGAGAATCGTAACAAGACTCGTGTTTTTCTTTTTGCTTGATTTGTGCGTTGTCCTTGTACTCTTCCGGATAATCCTGCCTCTCTGGCTGTATTATCGAGGCGTCTCCAGTCTTCGAGAGCTTGATCTTCATCCCGATCGGAGACTCTGTCCTTTTTGGACTACCTTGAACAATATCCAACTTCTCTTTATGCTTCATCTGCATTTCTTGCTGCACTATCGAAGCGTCACCGGTCTTCGATAACTTGATCTTCATTCCAATCGGCGATTCTGTCCGCTTGATCTCCTCGAATTTATGCTTGCCTTCCTTCGAATCGTCGACAGAGTCGTGTTTCTCGGAGGAGACTATCGATGCATCACCAGACTTCGATAGTTTGATCTTCATACCAATCGGAGACAACGACGAAGAACCTTCCGAGTACCATTGTCCAACTTCTTCGATATTCTCGTTGGATATTATAGAAGGGTGACCACTTTTCGACAGTTTCAATTTTATTTTACCCAACTTCTGACCTGGACTATCCTCGGGATTCGGTGAATTGGTCGCTGATCTGATCTTAGGGCTCTTAGGTGATCTTGGCTCTCCGCAATCGGCGATAGCAGACTTTGCTATCTTCAAGATGATCCTCGGTGATCCGACATTCTCAAAATCGTGCTTCTCAGAGTCTTTTCGTGGTGTTTCCATGATCTTCGGCTCCGACTGTTTCTCCGTCAACTTCGGGGATTCCAGCATCTTTTGATAGGCGATCAACTTTGCATCCTTTTGAATTAAAAGACTGTCCTTCGAGGTGGTAGGAGACATGGTGACTTTAGTTACATCGGCAGCTGGAATTTCTATCTTAGGTGGCTCTTTCAGACGTTCCTCCAGGATCGAAACTTTAGGAATACATTCGGAGGTCTTTAGAACTTTCTGTGATAGCGTCGCCACCGCCGTTTCAGCTAGTATCTTTTCACATTTTAAATTCGACGTTTCTTGGATCTCGACGTTCTGCAAAGGTTCTACGCCGAATTTACTCTCAGATCTTGCAGACACTACCATCTTCTCTTCAGCTATCTCCTCGTCCTTTCTCATTTCTCTATCGTCGGTTGTTTCGAATTTATTTTCCGAACCGGCCAATTTAACTTGCTCCGCGAGCTTCCTCTCGCTTTCCAATTTCGCAGCTTCCGAAATTATTTCCGCTTCGGAAATTGAAATAGAATCTGTCGCGATGTTCTGCAATTCTGCCTCCAGTTCTGACGCGTTCTCACACATGTCCTCGTCAGGGACGAACAGAGATGCCGCTGAATCTGCCTGCTTCGATATATCGTCGACGACACTCTCTACCAACTTTGGAGACAGTATCAACGGAGAATCCATACCTTGTTCCTCGGACTCTTGAAGGAACTTCACAGCAGATTCCAGTTCTGATATTTCAGAGCTCGGTTGAGATGTTTCAACGCAAGGCGGAGTGTCGTTCAAATTTTCCCCTTCGTCCACGCTCTGTAATAGAATATCCTGTGCCAATTCCAGTTTCGATTCTGTTTCTTCGAGATCACCTACGGATTCTAGAGGAGCTTCTTCAAAATCCATGTCCAATTCATTCTCTGGCAAATCGGTATCCTCCCTTAAATCCTTCTGCAAGTCCTCCACATTCTCATCCTTCTCCATAGATTCGGGAATCAAGTCTTCCTGATCCACTTTCAACATGTCACTTGCCTCTGCCTCTTTAGGCTTATCATCTTCAATTCCATCAGACTTCGCTATGTTATCTTCCAATGGTACTGTATTCTCGTTTAAACAACTGCTGATCACGTGTGTTATGTAATCTGAATCTTGTGCCATGTCCGAAGGCTCATGATTCGACTGTTCTAATAAAAGGCTCATGTCTACAACCTTTGACAATTGCTCTGGCTTCTCAAGTTGCTCCTCGGACTTTGTTGACTTCAATGTAGAATCCTCTCCATCTGGCATTAAATCTAGACCTAGCAAACCCTCCAGAGAATCTATATTTTGCGTTGACATTGTGTCCTCCATATCTTTGTTCAAAATATCTTCTGAATCTTGTGGTAGTTTCTCTGTCAGCTCTTCAATTTCACCCTCCACCAATGGTAAGTTTCCAGATTGTTGAAGAACCTCCTTTATCTCATTTGTTACACTTGCTTTTGTGCTTAAAATATTCTTGAAGTCACTCCTTATATTGTCTAGGATACTTGTAACAATGTCCTGTGTATTTTGGCACTGTTCTTCGGTAAAGAGCTCTTCTACATTATTGGCAGTTTCTAAAATATCCTTCAGGTTATCTTTATTAGTATCATTCTTTGAATCATCATCCTCCAACTGTTGTTTCTCTGATAGTTCTTCGATCCTGTTTGACTCTGAGTCTTCAACATCACCTGACTTCATGGGTTCTTCTGTATCTATTTCAATAGCACTTGATTTTTCCATGCCCAATGAATCTACAGTGTCTTCGTCCATTTTAACTACAGTGTCCTCTTGATCTTCTTTAATAATTTCTTCAGAAAATTCCATATCCTTTTCATTCTCAGATTTTTCATCAATATCACTTTTGACCATTTCTGACTGTGATTGGGTGTCTTCAGGCTCCAAAGTTAAATTCATCTCTTCTTTTATGTGCTCCTCTTCTACATCCTCTTTACATACTACCACTTCTGTACGATCTGATAGTGAAAATGGATTTTTACCTGTAAATTTTGAATCAGAAGTTGAATCTTCTTCGTTAACATATTCTGTAGTTTCATCCATTTTCACATCTAGCTCATTTTGTAAATTCACAAACTTCATTGTTCATTCCTTTTAATTGCTCTTCCACACCAACTGTAGGAGCAGAACCTTCTCTCCTATCTTCTTCAATCTGTTCTTCAACCATGTTCTCTTTTTCTGCTTCTTTCATAGCTGTGATTTCTTCTTCTGTTTCTTTCTCACCTGTGATTTTTTCTTCTATATGTTTTTCAACTGTGACTTCTTCTTCTGCTATTTCTTTTTCAACTGTGACTTCTTCTTCTACTATTTCTTTTTCAACTGTGATTTCTTCTTCTGTTGCTTCTTTTTCAACTGTGACCTTTTCTTCTGCCTTTCTCTCAATTATATTTTCTTCTTCTACCTGTTCTTCAATTGTGATCTCTTCTGTTGCTTTTTCAATTTTAAGATCTTCATGCTGCTCAGAAATTTCCATCTCCTTTGATTCTGTGTACTCTGTAATAACATCAGCCACATCTAAGGGTTTATCAAGTTCTGTTTCTTCAACTATTGTACTTTCAATTTCATTGGATTCTTGACTTTCTTTCTCAACAATACCATTTTCATCTTGTGTGATCTGTAGATTAGTAATTTCCATCTCCTCTGCTTTTTTATCATCAATTTCTTCCAATGGTTGGGCAGTTTTATCTTCAGAACTCTCTTCATATGTAACATGTGCAGGCTGTGTAACAACTGAAGTTGTATCTGTTCCTAATGCAGAAGTCACAGAATCCTCATTAGAGTCCACTTCCATTGGATCCTTATATTTAAAAGTTGTATCACAACTTTCTAATGTACATGTTTTCAACTCATCTTCAGATTTTTCTTGGATGATGGATAATTCTGCTGTATCTACTGATTCTATAGCAACATCTTCCTTTAAATCAACTTTGATTATCTCTGATGGCACAGAATCCAAACTATTTTTCTCTTCAGTTTCCATCCCTACATTTGTTACTATATTGTCAGCCACATTTATTGTAGTATCAATTAAATTATCACTGTATGAGGATACTTCTGTGCTATTTTGCAAAGCAGATGTAGAATCTTCTTCAGAAACCACAGGAATTTCATCATTTACTTCAGGAGATAATTGACTGGCAATTGGTTTTAAAAAATCCTGTTTTATTTCTGTTTCTAATGATTCCAATTTTTCAATTTCCATTTCTGCTTTCTCTTCTGGCAATTCTACTTCGTCAACCTCATCTTTTGATACATCTAAATTGTCTGTTACCTGTGGTGATTCAAACTTATCTAATTCAACACTAGTAAAATTGTCTATACTTCCTGACTGAATTTCTGTTTTTGGGATTCCTATTTCTAGTTCACTTTTCTCTTCGCTAATTTTAGTATCATTATCTGCACTTACCTCGTCATTTGATTCTGTACTTAATACTTGATCATTACTGGCTATATTGCTCTCAATGTCTAAAGTATTTACAGGTTCTTCATTTTCAGAACTTGATCCTTTTTTTTCACTTATACACTCTTCACTCTCAGAACTTCCTTCCTCTTCTACAACCATACATTCTGCAGTCTTTTGGTCTCTTTCTGCATCTGTGCTTTCTTCTGTAACTTCTACTTCGCATTTGCTTTCTTCTGTGGCACAAGTACCACTTGTAAGTTCAACATCTTTCTCATCTACTTCCATATCAGAATGTTCTAATACAGACTCTTCCACTATTACTTGAATGTCAATTTTCTTCTCTTCCATTAGTTCTTCTTGAACATTGTTTGTATCACTGGCAGCTATATTCACATCTTCTTCTTTTTCTTCACATTGTGAAACAATATTGCTAGGACTATCTACTTTGCATTCATTAGGAACAATATCTTTTGTATCTTCTGTCTCTCTTGAAATTGTAAGCAATTCCTCTGCATGTTTAGGTTCCTTAGAACAATTAGATGAATCAACTTCAATACTGTACACTTCTTCACTTTCTATTGTTTCAGCAATATCTTTCTCTGTACAAATCTTATTTGAACTTATATTATTAATATCATCAGAGACATTATTTACATCTTGTTGTGGTTCACAAACTTCAAATGCATCTTTTTTCTCTTCGCAGGAAATCAGGCTATTTTCATTAGAACTAATTGCTGAACTTGTTTCTTTTGGCTCTTCATCATTCATAATTGTATCCTCAGAGTCCTCTGAACTATATGCTTCACCAATTAGCTGCAAACTTCCACGAATACTGTTTTCACTTTCTATAATAGTTACTTCACTATTCACTGTTGCTATTTTAATATTGCTATCTCCTTGCTTGTTTGCATTAGGCCTATTTACATTTTCTTCACTTTTCACAACATCTGAAGTCACTGAAATAGAATCACTAGTAGCTTGAACAAACTCACCATCTGTTTGGCTTATAACATCAGAATTTTCAACATCTTTACTATCAACAATAGCTACAGACTCTGTTAATACATTCATTTCACAATTATCCCTTGTATCATTGTCCTTTCGTTCTTCGCACAACTGTAAACTTTCCTGTAAGGTGTTTTCATTGTTAAACTGTAAGTTTCCTTTGCTTAATTGTTCCATACAACCACTTGTTGTCTCCCGAGCACTACAAACAATCTCTAATTCCTCCAAAGTAGATGTTAAACGATCACTTGTGTCAGATACTTCAACTGCATCCATGTTTTCAACCATTGGAACTCCATCAACCTTGATTAACTCATTCTCTGTTGTTTCATATTTTATCTCTGTTGCACTTTGACTTGTATCCGTCTTAGATTCTGTGATCATCTGTGAGAGTGCAGCAATTTCACTCTCCAAAGTGGAATCACTAACAGGTTCTGATTGAACACCAATGATATCATTAATATCCATGATGCTTAGAGCTTCAGTATCATACGTTTCTGAATCACTGTCAATACAATAAGGAGCATAACGGTCGGGTGAATCGTCCTTGACTTCTTTCTTTGTTTCTTTTGTCTCGTCTTTGGAGCCAAATAGGCCCATCTTAGGACTTTCAGACATTGTTTTGATAGTCGACGCAGGACACCTTAAACCTGCGGTCGCGGTCTCGCTTCTTCACCGTGCTGATCCATGTGTGCACGAAGTCCAGTGACACAGACAGGAATCTTATTCTTCGCAACTTCCTGATCCTTTATTCCTGTTCGTTGGAACGGTATCATTGTATCAAGTAGTTTTCACGTATCGCGGCACTCAAGTTTATTTGTTTTCACTTTTGGCTCGCATACATAACCAAAATTTCCCTCCAGCGCGGCCTTGTATCGATTTTCTCAAATCAAGCGCGCGAATTAGTACGAGAACGCTATCGTCTTGTAACAGATGCTATTCGCGCCTAACCTAACCTATATTTTCGGTAACTGTCCGTAATTATTGAAATACATTTTGTCAGTTCGACATTCCACGAAGCGACGCTTAAACATCCAGATGCCCAGACGATGCCCTCACTTTCTTTACCACGAGTTCGTTTTGTACGTTCATGTATTTGGTACGAAGAGGTTTCAGTGCTGCCATCCTCGGTGGATGTTATTTTAAGAAGGTTAGAAAAATTAAAATCGTACCGGGGTCATTGGCTTTCGTTCTCGATAATATTTTACAGTATCACATTCATACATAAAAATCACTTTTTTTACATTTTAAATAGTTACAAATAAGGGTACTCGATTAAACTAAATTACTAGAAATATGTGCACACTTTGAATTTGTAAAATTGAATGTATCTGCATTTGTAAACTTGTATGTATATGTATTTACACACATTTTGTTAAAAATCTGTGAAATAGCTGGGAACAATTTTTTTTTTTGCTAAATAAAAAAATGATGTAGAAGGGTAATTATTTTATTGGTTTTGACATATTTCTCGTGTTTTTCTTCACTGTTTTTATTAATGCTTGCAGTTCTGTACTAGATTTCACTTTCGATTGTTTAGCTGGTATTTCCTATAGGTTTCAAAGAAATGAAAATAAGAAAATGTAATGTATTTTATAATTAAATAGTATATAGGAGTTATACTTACTTCACTGGGTTCATCTTCAACTCTTCTTTTTAATTTTTCTTTAATTAGAGCTTCAGTACCTTTAGTTTTCCTATAATGTGGGTCTGCTGGATCAATATTGAAATGATGTGACGTAAATAGGGCATTAAATCTTGAATCTTGTACGTTTACTTCGAAATTGTCTTGTACTATTTGATCTTGTGCATTCTTCTTTTTATTGAGTCGTTTTTGCTTAGATTTCGTCATTGTAGCGTTTTCTTCAATCTTTTTCATATTGAAATGCTGTTTACCATCTTCATTTTCGTCCATTAACAAAAGTTCTAATTCTGCTTTACGACGTTCTTCATCTTCATCATCCGACGAAGCCAGACCTTGTTTCATAGATTTCTTCCTATGAGATGATTTATTATTTTTCGTTTTTACATCATCGTCATCCGAATCAACCATCTCTGAATTGTCAGAATCCAGTGCATCTTTATCCGTGTTTTCACGTTTCTTTCGTTCTTCTCGTTTAGCTTTCTTTTTCGCTTTACGTTTCTCCAAATATTGTTCAAACGGCGTAAGATTCTCGTCTTTCTTTAATCTTTCCTGTACCAGTTTTTCAGCTTTCTCTTGCGTTCCCAAACCCCAAGTGAACTCTAACTCAACATCCTTCTTCCGATTTGTTTCTTCCTTCTCTTCTATTTCCTTCAATAGAGCTTTGTATTTTTCAATTGGGTTGTCATTTTTCTCTTCTTCCGAATCGCTTTCATCTTCCTGCGATTCCTTTTGTTCTTCTTTCTCTTCTTCTAATACGAAAATATTTATTAAATATTAAAAATATAAGATAGAGAAAAATATGCAAACAAAAGATAATACCTGCTTCATCAGCACTTGAATCAGTTGCCAAATAATTTTGTAAATCTTTTTCATCGATTTCGTCTAATTTACCAGAATTTAACTTCTGTGTAATCTCCATTCTTTCTGGGTTTGTCTCATCCCATGTTAAATCCACTTTAACTTGCTGCAAAGCTGTAGTTGTAAATATCCTTGGTTCATATTTGCTAGGTTCAGGCAATTTATTGCACACCTCTTTGGGAGTCTTAAAGTAGGCATCTAAGGTCATATATAATGAATATATTTTATATATTTTAAAATTAAGTAACATACCTGATCAAATTTCATATCATCTGGTATAAATCTAAGATCTAACTTTGCAGCTGTGGATTCATATTCTGTACCATCACATTCTGTATAAATTTTATTAGCTGTTTTAGCAGAATCAAACTCAATAACAGCATAATAATACTTTAGTCTGTTTAATTGGTATTGTCTTAACCTTTCCACATGATATGTTGACCCTTCTTCAGCCTGCAAAATTAAATTTAAAAACTGTAGTACACAATTTTATTTATATTCTTAAATACAAAAAATATATTCATACATCACTATCATCCTGAATATCCTCTTTGCTCATTTCTACCAATTCCTTTGGACCATTAATCTCTTCCTCTTTCATACGTTCTAGACCAAATTCTGATGGATAAATCTGAAATTATTTTACTGTGAAAACTGTTAAAGACACTTGTTTCATTTAGGTATTGATTATTCTTACAGTAACTGAATGAATGAGACCTCCACTAGGTAAGAATGAATTGAATAAAACCATTAAATCTACAGCACGTATTCTATCCCAATCCATATTACAAATTGCTAATCTATGTGTAATTTCATCTGTTGTCACAGCATCTTTATCTAGCTCACCCCAATTGTGTTCAATTTCTTCCTCATCTAATTGCAACATATTGTTATTATACTTTATATGAAACTATTAACTAGTTTATTAAGATTACAAATGTAACATATATTACCAGAAGTATCAGAATCTTCCTCAGAAGAACTGTCTGACATTAGCACTCCTTCACCTCTAGCATAATTTATATTTAAGTCTTTTAACTTCTCTTTAACTTTATCAGGGAGTTTCTTAGATTCTTCCTTTCTACTAATAGCCAATTGCTTTTTACTTTCTTTTAAATCTGCCTTCAAATTCTCAGCATTTGCATCAGATTCAGATTCTGATTCAGATTTGCTCTGTTCCTTAGCATCTACATCACTTTCTTCTTTTGGTTTCATCCTAAGTAACTCTCCATTGCTTGAAAAATGATGATCAGAATCATTCTCTTCACCTTTGCTTTTATCATCCTCTGCATCACTTTCCTTTGACTCAACAATTCCTTTTTTCTTACTTTCTTTCTTTTTATATTTCTTAGACTTCTTTTTCTTTTGTTGCTTAATTTTTTCTTGTTCTTGTTTTTCATCATCATCATCATCATCATCAGCATCATCAGCATCATCGTCATTATCATCATCTTCTTCTTCTTCTTCACTAGAAGATAACTCATAATATTTCCTAAGATTTTCAGATGATGTATGTTGTATTGGTCTACCCCTTTTATCAATGGTATACTGAACTTTAAACTTTTTATCTTTAAACATACTTTGAAATCTTTTGTCTATTTTCACCATTCTTTCTGCCCTTGGAATCCTCTTAAATTTAGGATCACTTGCAACATGGGCAAATCGTTTATCGTTCAGTAAGTCGTCCATGCTTTATAAATAAGAATACAAGAATATTGAATTATTTCTTATTCTTAAGTGTTCAAGGTACGACGCAGCAACTATTCGAAATACTTTACTTTTCTATCTCTTTTAGTTTTTACAAGAATTTATAATTGAGAAGTATTTAACAGTTAGATATTTGCTATCGTAAAACGTTTAAATAACATAATTAAAATTTTTTAGAGTTTAACGTTGTTAATCAAATTTACAAAGCAAGACCATCTGCTCGAGATCCATGTGCTCAACTACTTCCCTTTAACATAACCTTATTCATAAAATGTCAGTTACTATTATGTTGCTACTAATTGATAATTGCTAGTTTTAGT